TTAAATTACTACATGTAAATTTCGCCTTGTAAAAATAACTTTGCCCTTCCTAAATATTTCATACAATTTTCAGTGTAGTATTTATATGTAAATTTATATATTAAATATTTTTCAATTAAATGATTATAAAATTATAGGAGGGAAGATCAAGGCCATTTGCATGCAAGAACTTATAATAAGGGAGCACCCATTTAACTTCAAGGGGGGTTTATGGTTTTTTGTCTGAGTCAGAACAATTTTTTTTCGCGCTAATTTTTCGACGCTATCAATCAAATTATTTTTTTCAAAATTTAACACACTTATAAGGTATGGAGAAAATCTGGATTCAGAATATTTGTTTTGTCCTCCGCTTGAACAGACTATTTTTTTCATCAAACTGGGGATCAGAATATATTTTTAGGAAACTCCCCCCCCCCCCCCAATAGCCCAACCAAAATCAGGGGTTAGATAGAGAAACAATAGCCCAACCATAATCAGGGGTTAGATAGAGTAACACGATCCCAACCAAAATCAGGGGTTAAATAGAGAAACAATAGCCCAACCAACATCAGGGGTTAGATAAGAGTAGCACGAGCCCAACAAAAATCCGGAGTTAGATAGAGTAACAATAGCCAAACCAAAATCCGGGGTTAGATAGAGAAACAATAGCCCAACCAAAATCAAGGGTTAGATAGAGTAACACGAGCCCAATCAAAATCCGGAATTAGATAGAGTAACATGAGCCCAATAAAAATCCGGGGTTAAATAGAGTAACACGACCCCTATTAAAATCCGGGATAAGATAGAGTAACCCGAGCCCAATCAAAATCCGGAGTTAGATAGAATAACACGAGCCCAACAAAAATCCGGGCTTAGATAGAGTAACACTAGCCCAATCAAAAACCGGGGTAAGATAGAGAAACAATAGCCCAACCAAAATCAGGGGTTAGATAGAGTAAAACTAGCCCAATCAAAATCCGGAGTTAGATAGTGTAACATGAGCCCAATCAAAATTCGGGGTTAGATAGAGTAACATGAGCCCAACAAAAATCCGGGCTTAGATAGAGTAACACGAGCCCAATCAAAATCCGGGGTTAGATAGAATAAAACGAGCACAATTAAAATAAGGGGTTAGAAATAGTAACCAGAGCCAAATCAAAATCCGGGTTTAGATAGAGTCACACAAGCCAAATCAAAATCCGGGGTTAGATAGAATAACACGAGCCCAATCAAAATCCGATAAGTTTCTTTCAGTGATAAACGAGGGTCTGGATGGGGTTTACAGAATAATAAAAAAAAAGGATAGAGAAAAATAGACCCAAAAATTAAGAATAGGGAATAATGGGGTTAGATAGAGTAACAATAGCTCAACCAAAATCAGGGGTTAGATAGAGAAACAATAGCCCAACAAAAACAGGGGTTAGATAGAGAAACAATAGCCCAACAAAAATCAGGGGTTAGATAGAGAAACAATAGCCCAACCAAAATCAGGGGTTAGATAGAGTAACACGAGCCCAACCAAATCAGGGGTTAAATAGAGAAACAATAGCCCAACCAACATCAGGGGTTAGATAAGAGTAACACGAGCCCAACAAAAATCCGGAGTTAGATAGAGTAACAATAGCCAAACCAAAATCCGGGGTTAGATAGAGAAACAATAGCCCAACCAAAATCAGGGGTTAGATAGAGTAACACGAGCCCAACCAAAATCAGGGGTTAGATAGAGAAACAATAGCCCAACCAACATCAGGGGTTAGATAGAGTAACACGAGTCCAACAAAAATCCGGAGTTAGATAGAGTAACAATAGCCCAACCAAAATCCGGGGTTAAATAGAGAAACAATAGCCCAACCAAAATCAGGGGTTAGATAGAGTAACATGAGCCCAATCAAAATCAGGGGTTAGAAAGAGTAACACGACCCCAATTAAAAATCCGGGGTAAGATAGAGTAACCCGAGCCCAATCAAAATCCGGAGTTAGATAGAGTGACACGAGCCCAACAAAAATCCGGGGTTAGACAGAGTAACACGAGCCCAATCAAAATCCGGGTTTAGATAGAGAAACAATAACCCAACCAAAATCAGGGGTTAGATAGAGTAACACGAGCCCAATCAAAATCCGGAGTTAGATTGAGTAACATGAGCCAAATCAAAATCCGGGGTTAGATAGAGTAACAATAGCCCAACAAAAATCCGGGCTTAGATAGAATAACACGAGCCCAATCAAAATCCGGGGTTAGATAGAATAACACGATCCAAATTAAAATCAGGGGTTAGATAGAGTAACTGGAGCCAAATCAAAATCCGGGTTTAGATAGAGTCACACAAGCCGAATCAAAATCCGGGGTTAGATAGAATAACACGAGCCCAATCAAAATCCGGGGTTAGATAGAGTAGCACGAGCCCAACCAAAATCAGGGGTTAGATAGAGTTACATGAGCCCAATTAAATCCCGGGATTAGATAGAGTAACATGAGCCCAATCAAATTCCGGTGTTAGATAGAGTAACACGACCCCAATTAAAATCCGGGGTTAGATAGAGAAGCACGAGCCCAACCAAAATTCGGGGTTAGATAGAGTAACACGAGCCCAATTAAAATCCGGGGTTGAACTCAGGTGCTTCGGAAGAATCAGCATTGCCTTCTCCACTAGTGACATCCGCTGCGTACTCATATATACTAACGTTGATAATTTTCTTTCAGTGATTAACAAGGGTCTGGATGGGGTTTACAGAATAGAAAAAAAAAGAATAGAGAAAAATAGACCCAAAAATTAAGAATAGGGAATAATGGGGTGATGAAATATAAAAAATAGAGAATAATTGGGGAAAAATGAAGAATAGAGAAAAATGGCATAAAAAAAATTTAAAGAATACAGAAATGAAAGCCCCCCATCCAGACCCTCATAAACATCATACATAATCAGAAAAGTATTGCCTCTTGTGTAACTCTAAGACATTACCTAGTTCATAAACCAATGGTTACCTAAAATCTATCGGAATGTGAAAGTTTGAAATAAATACATGATTTGCCAGGACAAGGGATAGACAAGAACGTTACCAATGAAAAATTCAGGCATTAACAAATATAAAAAATGATCACAGAATACAACCCTTAAAACTAATGAAAAACAAAACTAGGTGAGGTATCAGGTGCTCCAGAAGGGCAAGAAGTTCCTATTACACAATTGCACCGGTTGTGTTAATCTTTCCATGTAAAATTCGGTGAAAAATCATAGCTGTCTTTTAATAACGCACCCAGTTGACGCAGGGAAAACTATTCTGACATCTGTTGTAAAAATTGTATGTCTAATAATTTGAATGATGCTTGAATACATTAATATATCAAAAATGTACTACGTAGATGAAAGTAGAATGCATACAATAGTTTCGATTTGTTTAAACCAAAAGTGACTTTTAAGTTGTTGACAAATATTTCCCCACTCTGTTTTTTAAAATAAAATTGAGAATGGAAACGGGGAATGTGTCAAAGAGACAACAACCCGACCGAAGAGCTATTTCACTAAAAAAAAGACAATACTCGAGATGCCTACTGAAAGATTATTGTAGAATGCTGTTTCTCTCTTACTGAAAATCAGTTATTATTTACATTTGTATAGTGTTATAATATCAATATACTAAAATTTAAGCAAAAGCATTTTTCGATAAAGCAAATAATCATTATACGATAGTATAATCTACTTCTGAACGAAAAAATATCAATTGTCATCTAACTAAACCATTGTTTAAACATTATATAAAAATGTCCATGATCTATGACATATTTAACTAATCATATGAATTTTTGAACCACGTGGAATACCTCGGGATTCATCACCTATAGCCTATGATATAAAAAGATAAACAAAGTTATCTGACATTACTGTGTCTCTAAACAACCAAGGTGAGTGGTTCAGGTTTAGTTTAGCTTGACTGAAAATTTTTAATACATTGAATTTCTGTGTACAATATTTCTTAATGCAATTCAGCAATTTTTCGTCTTGGTTTTATTCTCAATTTGTTACAACCCATGCTTTAAATTTTTTTTTCAACGCAACACTTATAGAAACAAACTAATTGAAAAATATTAAAAAAATTACCGAGTAACAAATAAATTCACCAATGCGCGTAGCACATTCATTATGAATCAATTTTGTTCGGTCGCGTATTAAATTATGAATTCTTAAATACATGTAAGTTATCATTTTTATAATATTGATTATAATGCTCGAAAAAGACAAGGAAATGAGCGGTCAAAGTAGTGAAAATATAGAATATATTCATATGTTTTTAAAAGCCACCAAAGTAATATTACTTTTTTTCCGCAGTAACATTTTGTTTTCTGAAGAAGTGTTGAATATTTTTTTGAAGACCCACACCTATGTTACGAGTTAACATTAACGTAACTCATTAATTTCTATTTCAAGTACAAAATGTAATAGCCATTAGAATAAACCAAAAACAAAAGTACTTATCGAAATTCAACCAAGATATATTAAAGGTAAAAATCCAATTTCAATCAAATTGTACTTATTAAGGAATGTCGGTGGTGAAAAAAACTAGTTGTAATCTAGAGATACGAATTCAGACAGGAGAAGATGTATATCGCTAGTGACACACAATTGAAGGAGATGACACGTTTTTGGGATGTGGGTTATAGGGGTTAAATAAATAGGGGTGTGGGTTATAGGGGTTAAATAAATAGGGGTGTGGGTTATAGGGGTTAAATAAATAGGGGTGTGGGTTATAGGGGTTAAATAAATAGGGGTATGGGTTATAGGGGTTAAATAAATAGGGGTGTGGGATATAGGGGTTAAATAAATAGGGGTATGGGTTAGGGTTAGGGGGAGTACAAATAGTCGAATCTAGGAAAAAGGATAAACAAAAGTTGGAAGTAGGCAATTCTTACAATAAAGCGGGATTTGGGACATGAGCACCTTCTTGAACTCCCCCTTCCCCTTTTCCCCCAAATCACAATTTTTATAACTTAGTTGATTTAGTTTTTATTTTTATTTCACCATCAGATGTTCCGTTTGATGATAATTGCCGCTGTCGCTGTAGCTGCCCTAGCCTCTACACTGGTAACACCAGAACTAGATGAACAATGGGAGAGCTTCAAGGACTTGTACAACAAACAATATGGCGAACAGGAACACTTAATGAGGTCAATATTCTTTAATTTATTCTAAACATAAAATGAGTAAATTGCGATACTAAGCCAAAGGGAAAGGTATGCAGAGAATATTATGCCAAAGGAAATATTAAAACCTTTGGCGCTATTGAACTCAATTTTTATTTATTAGTCTTGCTGTCTTTCGCTTGTTATTAACACGCTAGCTGGTTTTCTCTATTGAATTGTTTAATATTTGTTCATGCTCGGGTCTTTTATCGCTATCTACATGTATGTGTTAAGGGATTTGCTCAGTGTTGAAGGCCACATTTGAAAGTAAAATGCAAAATGTGGTTAAGAATGATATCACACGACCGATTGTTGTTAACATTTTCATCCTTTGGTCACAGGTGTATTCTCTCATTGACAATCATACAAGATCTCCTTTTTTACAAATTTAAGAAATTGCAGTTACAGTTTTTTCACCAATACCTTAACTCATTTCGGATTTATTTTAGGCGTCTTATTTGGGAGAGCAACTTGAGATACATACAAAAGCACAACCTGGATGCAGACAAAGGTCTTCATACATATATTCTTGGTGAAAATGAATATTCTGATATGGTTAGTATTAAACTGTATATTAAATGTTTGTTTTTGGATTAACATTTAAAACATTTAAATTAAAGACACGAAAGTAGAAACATTAAAGTTATATACGTTTTTCGTGGTGCTTATGAAAACAAGGCATTAATAATACCACATTTTTAATTTTGATGTGAACAGAAAAAAGGAAATACTAAAAGATCTCGACTTCAGAGTACCTTGAATTATCTTAAGTAACAACAAAGTCGGAAAACCACAATAACCGAAAATGTCTTTTTTCATGTTGGATGAAATATTCTGGCTTAAGGCAAGTGTTGGCTAGTGATATAAATCATTCAATTTCAGTACGAATTGCAGAAAACTAGTCAGAAACGTTATTGACCTAAAGTTATACAAAGTTCAGTATCTCTATAAATGTACCACTGTGTGTAAAACGATCATTCATTTGTGAAACATTTAAATTTGCTTAACTACATGTTAGATTTTGGCGTTACATATGCTTGTACTGTTTTGAGCAATCTCCAGATGTGTGACAAGCATTTATATGTCTCCATGAAAATCCCAACTGTTTAAATCATATGTGGGTAAGATAATCGAAGAGTTTAATTCTAATTTCAGAAAAAAAAAACTATTGATTTGTAACATTAACTAATATTTCTATTTTTACAGACACACAAAGAATTTGTATCAGTAATGAATGGATATATTATGCCAAATGGTAGTAAGAAAGGAGACACATTCATGGCACCAATTGGAGTAGAATTGAAGGATGTCCCTACATCAGTTGATTGGAGAACCAAGGGTTACGTTACTGAGGTCAAAAACCAGGTTTGTGTTGTTCTTCAAACTAAAAAAACAACATTGAAAATAAACATGATAAATAAATTGTATATTAACTAGCCTAACTAGTAACAGAGATAATATAACTAGAACTGTTTAAAATTTTTAAAAGTATTTAAGATAATAACTAGTCTTTTCACGGAAAGTTAGATTTCTAGTTTACCGATATAAAAATAAGATGTGGTATAATTTCCAATGAGACGTATAACCACCAAAGTTCAAATGAAGTGGATGTAAGCAATTATAGACAACCGTACGGCCTGCAACAATGAGAAAAATCCATACCCTATAGTCGGCTATAAAAGGCCCCTACATAAAAAATATGAAACAATTCAATTGAGAAAACTAACAGCCTAATTTATAATAAAAAAAAAATGCGAAAAACAAATATGACAGATATGAACCAACGACAACAACTGAACTACCGGCTCCTGACTTGGGACAGGCACATAATGAATGTGGTGGGGTTAAATATTTTTGTGAGAAGAACAGTTGTCTGCAAAATTAAACTATTAAACAAGAAATTTGTAACACAAACCTAAAAAACGTCGCAGATAAACTAAAAAGATAGCAATTTTTACCCCACCTTTACCTTGTGTACCTATTATAAACTGTTTGTCCTGTGAGCTTCGTCTTTATATGCACATGAATATTTTGAGTACATTATTTTTCTTGCGTTTGTTATCTTCTCACACGATATTTAAAGATTGTTTTGTTTTTCAACAGGGACAATGTGGATCATGTTGGGCTTTTTCAACAACTGGTTCTCTAGAAGGCCAGACGTTCAAGAAAACACAGAAACTCGTATCACTTTCTGAACAGAACTTAGTTGACTGCTCATCGAGAGAAGGTTTGCTATTTTATTAATGTGTCGCCTGACAGCGTTCTGTTAAGTCACAATTCGTTACCCTACAAATCCTTGTAATTGTCTGATTGTCAGAACTGCCTATTGTGATAATAACTTTATTTTGTTTCGTCCTGAATATAAATGTAGTCATGCTATTGCTTCATTTGGCAATGTATGTTAAGCGAAGATCAATCAATCATCCAAATAGCTCAAGTTAGGCTGCATACATATAAAAATCAAATGTTTCCCAATCAAAATAGCCGTGTGTGTGTTGTAAATAGACCATGGAATTCAGATAGAAGCTAGAATACATATGAGGCATCTTATCGAAATGTACTACAGACTCAGCTATCCCCTCGTTAAAAATGATCTATGAATTGTAATTTTTAACAAAACTTCTAGTAACTTTGTCTTTTTTTTAAAACCATATCAGTGAAATATTTTTTTCTATAACCCTACCATTTCGGGAGATAAATATAGATATTATCACGATATTATATAACTCTCGATAATTAAATTTTCAGACTTATAAATGTGTTTTTTTAAATTTAACTAAAAAATGTCGTACGCCAGACGCGCGTTTCGTCTACAAAAGACTCATCAGTGACTCTCGAATAAAAAAGTTAAAAAGGCCTAATGAATAACTAAGCTGAAGAGCATCAAGGACACAACATATCGAAAGGTTTTGCCAAATACCATAAAATTATAGAGAAATTGTACTTTTTTTGTATTTAAACATATTTTGGACAATTGTTTTCAGGTAATAAGGGATGTCAAGGAGGATTAATGGACAATGGATTTACATACATTAAAGTTAATGATGGAATTGATACAGAGCAGTCATATCCATACAGAGCCAAGGTAAAAATTGATTCAGTCATTATTGTTCCTTCATCGTAAATTTCTGTCAAATGATATTAGTTCTTATATATATTTGTATGTGTCCTCGTTGATTGAAAGTTACTTGACAATAATTATATTTTTTAAAGGTTTATTGTTAAGGTATATTATTTATCTCCCTTTTCATGCTCATTTTTTAGTTAATTTGGTTTAATTGTTTATTTATTTTTTTCTGGGGACATTTTGTCAATTAATTTTTATTCTTTGGTCAACTGCAACATTACACATTTCACAGTTAGGAATCTAGGATAATCATAATTAGGATATTGAGGTGGCTCCAAAAAAAAAAAAAAAAAGAAAAAAAAAAAGAAAAGAAAAACGAAGAAGAACGCGGCGGTAAAAAAAATCGGAAAAATGTGCTAAAAACGCCAAATGTCGGCCATAATTCATGTAAATACAGAAAATAGAATGATGTAACATCTTTCTAATTATGCTGATTTTTAATCAGACAGTGAACTTTTAAAAGAATTAACTAAGGTTTAGTAAGTAGCTGCAAGTGTAGGTAGTGTATCATTGTCTCGTAATACTATTTCATGTTACTTTTAGACAGGATTGTTCTGTCGATTCAAAAAAGCTGACGTAGGTGCAACAGATACCGGATATGTTGACATCAAAAGAGGAAGCGAGGATGAATTACAAATGGCGGTTGCAACAGTTGGACCCATTTCCGTAGCTATGGACGCTGGTCACCCTTCATTCCAACATTATAAAACTGGAGTATACAGTGAAAAGCAATGTAGCTCATCAAGACTAGATCATGGAGTTCTAGCTGTAGGTTATGGTACCAGTGATTCAAGTGAAGATTACTGGATTGTTAAAAACAGGTAACAGATAAATAAGATTTCAGTACGTTGCTATATATTTGTAAATGTCTTTGTAATAAGTTATGTAGTGCCTTACATGTTCCCTTTGTATAATAGGAATTCTTATGATATGTTTCTCTTTCCTAGTTTTTGTTTTGTTTCTTTAAGAAAGCATTTACGTCACATGATTCATGTATTTGCCGATGATGATTTCATTTCGAGAAAACAAAGCTAGCTCTTTTTTGTTATTTACGAAAATATTATTTATCTTTTTTCCAGGTATATTTTTTTAGGTACATTGAAACTTTTGACTGGTTTTAAAAGCTGTCTATGTTGAAGTTTTTTCTAAAGTTATATTTTGCTGTTTTCGAAAGTTTTTGTCATTTACATTTATGTTTAGGCCATCATTGATTTTATGTTATTTTATACCTTACAGTTGGGGAACAACCTGGGGTATGAAAGGATATTTTGAAATGTCAAGAAATAAAGAAAACATGTGTGGAATTGCAACCCAAGCCAGTTATCCTAAAGTATAGAAGACTAGATACTACAGCGCACAACGACATATATCATATTGGAGAATAGCAGTGCATTTTGTTTCGAACAGCAATAAATAGTGTAATCTTAAAAAGGATCCGAAAGTCACATTTTTGTATGTTCATAATACAACAAAGAAATAAAATTATGATAAAGCAGGCTGTTTTGTTTACTTATTGTGAACTAGAAAACGTTCCATGAACGAACCAATTATAAAACATTATACAGACTGTACCTAAGTTACTTGCAATCTAACAAGGTTAAACATTTAGGCAGGTACAAATTTGTAGTTGTTAGTCTACGTTAAATGCACATACTATTAGAGGAGGAATGATCAAATTTATGGTTGATAACGTATAGTGTACTCTGCATGTCTTGGGTTAATCCATTGCGTTCTGTGGTTGCTGAGGAAAGGGATTTGAGAGTCTCTACCGTTTGAAAGCCGACATAACCGGAATTGAACACAATCGTATTTTTAAATATGTTTATAGCCTTTCTTATGTTTAGAATTGAACATATCTAAACCGGATTTATCCAGATACGCTGGTCCCGCATGAAATCCGCATTAAACAAAATAATGTTTTATAATTCTTATATGATTTGAATATTTGGGAATACGTTTATATGATTGGTCGAGAGGGCTTCCGGTAGTGGCTCTTGACGTTATTTATTTTCCGATTGACGACGTTGACCGAACCTCTTTCTGTAACCATTGTAAACAAGATGGCGGCGATAATAACACAAACCGGCTCGACGTTAAAAATATTTATTTTCACTTCGCGTTCATCGTTAAATTAAATAATAAACACAAAACATTCATTGGAATGATAATAAGCTATTTTTGTAGTTTATTTTTTTCAGATAGCAAATTTCATGGAGAACATTTTATTGCGTTAACTTAAACAATATTTTCATGCGCCAGGCCAATTCAATGACACAAATATACAACTTACGTGTGATAGAGCTCGAGGTTATGAAAGGGAAAATTAAATTCCTTAAGTCCAATTTTAAAGAATTATAAGGATTAAACGTATTCTTAAAGGAATTTATTGGTGTATAAACTGGTACAAAGTCACCCACAAACATATCATAAAAGTCCTTTTTCGTTTGTTTGTGAGTGAATTTGTCGAGTTTATACACCAATAAATTCCTTTAAAAAGGCGATTAATCCTATAATAAACTCGTGCCATGTTCCCTGAAATTGGTATCATATGTTTATACTAAGGTATTACTACAATAGATCTCACTTATACAAAAAAAAAAAGAAATAAAGAAAGCATCTACAAGTAGTCAAATGAAGCTCTGCCTGATGAGGTGACATGCTTGAAACAGTTTTTACCTAATTTTAATAAAAATCTACAAAAATGGTTATGTACAAGTTAGATCTAGCACGATGGAAATCTCATATTTTTTATGAATAGCCAAATACGGATCCAACCATACTATCAAAAAGAAACAACTGTGCTGCTGTGGAAACACAGAATTGTTTAGTAGAGTTCTTTAGAGATAACATGGCTCTACATCCTTGTTGTTTTTGGCGATGCAAAAACTTTCCGTTGTCGTGTAATAATACAACAAGGTACACATATGAATTAATAACTTGTAGTTCATTATTATCACAGTCGGTATTTTTCTAAATAAAACGGTATCGTCTGCAAATAGATTCATACAAATTAGAAGTCCATTCAAAGATACGACATCATCGTCTACATCAGTGGAAATATCTTGAATAATATCATTTACGACGAATAAGAAAAGTAAGGGAGATAAGGACTTGCCTTGTATTACACCAAGATGGTTATCAAAAGCATCTGATAGAATTAAAGCACACGTAAACGCACAGATGAATACAAATATTATACCATTGATACGACTTTACTGATAACTCCAGATTTGAGAAGTGTATACTAGTATATCAAAATTCTATATAATACTTTTCTGTTGTGTTGCACCCTAATGCTTACTTATTTCAATGGCGAACAATTTGGTTAGTCTTATACCTAGCCCATTTCATCAATACAATTCATGAGCTAAAATCACCAACCGTATCATGCGTTTATATCAACTTAGAACGACTTAAGAGGAATGTATTCGTATACTGCTTACAATGGACATTGTTGATGCTTTCTTAAATGCATAAACTACAAATGTACCTTATACCAGTATTTCACCGGTAAGAAACTCCCTCAGGCTTTCACAAAAGAAACGTTGGTATGTATATTTTGCATGTGTTAAGGGTCAACAACTGCCAGAACAAGACTTCAATTGTTCTTACCCTTTCTTACTTTTTATACTGCATTTGTTCTATTGAGCAGGTCAAATGCGTCGACTGTACATTTTTATGTGATATTTATACACTGACCTTTAATTGCTTTTTGCCACGCCTATCATTCCAAATTGGTCATGCATTCTCTACACTTCCGCGGCGGTCACCGACACAACTCATTCACCACATATCTAGTGCACAAATTAGATAAACATGATTGTTCTTGCACAGTTATTTGTTGTCTATTTTTTAGTTACTTAAAATCCATAATTTCTTTAAGATTTATTATTAAATTCAAATTCTGACTTGTGATGTTTCTCTGCTGATGGATTGTAAGTCATCGAGGGTATCATCTAGGTATTGCTGTTATAAAATTTTGGAAATCATTTGGAATTACGAAATTATCTTCCTGGCGCATAATTCTGATCCCTTGTCCGGGTTTGGTCCTTTTTGGTTTTATCAGCTCCTCAACAGTTTTAGATTTTTGAATATGTTTGCTTCGTTCAGCACCAAAGAGACATTAATTGTCGATATGCGCATCTGGTGCATTGAAATGGGTACCTTTAATGTTATTTCATTGTATTGTCAATTTGATGATCAAATACATTGTTTCATTTAACGTTGGACGGTGTAAGCTTCTTACAATGCATTTTAAAGTAAAATCTATTATACGAAGGGGTCTCAATATGGTGTTTCAATAACACAAAAAAAAAAAAAAAAAGAAACTCTTTAAGGTTCATGTGGACCCTTTTGCTTAAATGACTGTATTTACACCACAAAACTTACAAACCTCTGCATCTGTACCAGTTTTAAGGCATAGCATTCCCCAGATGTACAAAACTCCAATGCATTTTATTTTTTAAAAATAAAGCAGCTACTTTAAGAGATAGATGCGATCAAAATTTGAGACATTTGTTCAAAATTTTGGTTTCTTGGACATAACTTTCCTTTGGACAGATTCATCTAACTTTTTTGTTTTGAATGATAATCAAACGCTAACGGATTTTTGTAAAAGCATTTGGAATATATTCTATACATAAGAATGCTTCAAGTGTGTGTAACACTCTTTGGATAAACTAATTTATATTAAATATTGTAGACTTTTTACTGTATATTTATCTAATTGAAAAAAAAAAATCATCGGTGATTTAGTGATAAAAATTGATACAAATAAAATCCACTCATAACCAAGCAAAATATACTTTTAAAAATTCCTGTGCTCGTTTTCGAGCTGATGGTTAAAATCAGTTGAAAAATGCATATTTTCCCGATTTGTAACAGTTTGACGTTGCGAAAAATAGCATTTTACGTTAACAACGTCATTATCTTCTTTGTTAGTGTATCATATGCCCTTAAGCAACATAGCCTTACTAACCTAATACTTAATATTATTTGATGTTTGATATCTAAGTAAACAAGCCTTGACCAATCTTAACAACTTTGTCTCACGAAACATATACATGTACATGTATGTTGCACTTTTTATCATTTCAATGTTACAACTATATTAAACGCCGTTGGTAACACTTCATATTGTATACATGTAGTATAAACAGACGTCGAACTAGATCTGACAAACCAGTTTATCTTTAGTACGAAGGTAAGCATATCATGTGTATGTTCTAAAATTGTTCAAATTTAAAAAAAAAATTAGATTAAAGACATATTGAAATTTGACTGAAATGTCGTTTTTTTTTTATTCGTAGTAACCTTAGATTTATATCATTATTGATGTTTCAATTATTAAATTGTTTTTCAAGTTTTGTTCTACTTAGATATTAGACTAATCACTTTATCAACAGGCATAGAAATCATACCCTTTTACACGCAACATTGTAGTTATGGCTGCCATTCTTCCGAACAAACATCATATAGCAACACAATTATAAGTTTAGGAAATAATACACTCAATTATAAAATGTTTCAGGTTTTAATTCGGTTATTCTTTATTGTCGAAAAAATCGTACTCCTTAAATCTTGTGAGATAATTTTCAAAATAAGAATATTTGAAATTGTTTTAATGGATTCTTATTTAAAGGTTACAAACTCAAATTATTTAAGCAGTAGCAAGTAAATGGTCCTTTGAAATTAATCAGAACCTTAATCCAAGAATTTTCTCTCATATTAGTAGGATATACATATTTTGTTTTATTTTGTAGATGTTTCGTTTGTTTATATTAGTAGCAATCGGCGTTGCAGCTCTGGCGTCTTCTCTGATCACACCTGAGCTTGACAATCAATGGGAGGAATTTAAATTGACGTACAAGAAAACGTATAGTCATTCGGAACATCAGAAGAGGTAATTCCCTTGTCTCGTTTAAACGATAAAAATTGTGTTTGTTTAGTCTTTAAAAAATCAACGAACTATGCTTCTAGAACGTGTAGAATAGTTGATAAGTTACGTAAATGTAAATTAATTAATTTTACACCGACTTTCTAATTCATATAGCTCTATACATATCATTTGAAAATCATTATTCGTTACCTATTTTATGTTATTAAGTACTACATTCTGTAATGAATTGCAATTCTTTACATACATACAAGTGTGCCATAGATATACATTTGCGAAATTCGCTTAAAATGTTAATACGTTTCAAATAAGGCGAGGTTTTGTTCGTATCAACTTTAGCGGTAACAATTTTACTCCACCAAAAAGCATTTCCGCAATTAATGTCACTTCAATGTTGACAGAGGCCAACATATTTATAAACACACACCCTTATACAAACGTTGACGCTTTGATAAAGCAAAGATGTTAGAAAGTAAAGCCAAAGCTGTCCAAGAAATCAGAGCTATGCACGAAAAAGATACATTCCAAAATTTAATATAATCCGACAAATTTATAACAAAAAGTTTCAAACATTTTCATGCCAGTACCGAGGAACAAGATGGTTGGCTTGAAATATCGCGAGGAACTTACCAGTATTGAGCAATTGATAATATCAATGGTACAAATGTTACTGCACCATATGCGCTTGTCGACCATTTATGTCTACTAAGCGATGATAAAAGCCAACATATTTGAAAATCCTAATCTAGAAATGCAAACGTTAAAAGTCTGATGAAACCAAAAACAAAACAAACCCTCCAAAAACAATATAAGGGATCAGAGCTATACATATAAAAATAAGAAGATGTGGTATGATTGCCAATGAGACAACTCTTCACAAGAGACCATATGACATAGATATTAACAACTATCGGTCACCGTACGACCTTCAACAATGAGCAAAACCCATACTGCATAGTCAGCTATATATAGCCCCGAAATGTAAAACATTTCAAACGAAAAAACTAACTGCCTGATTTATGTATAAAATAATGAACGCAAAATATCCAGCAACAAACGACAAGCACTGAATTACAGGCTCCTGACTTAGGACAGGCACAAACAGAATGTGGCGGGGTTAAACTAGTGTGAAGGTGCCAACCCGCCCCTAACCTGGGACAGTAATGTAACAGTACAACAAAAGAACAAACTATACAAATAAGCTGAAAAGGGCTTAACTTATCAGATCGATACGGAGTATGAAGGAGATACATTTCTCAAGTTTAGAATTATTTTCATAACTGTATTATATATGTAACTAATTTCACTAAATGTTGTTTGTCATTAACTGATTGTATAGATTTCATCCTTTAAAGTATATTAACTACAAATAACAATGAAATGGGTGAATTATTAATACATTATCTTTTTTGTAAATGACAAAAACAATAATTTTTGAACTTACTTTTTAAATAAAACCCTATCCAAATTGTGTTATCATCAATTGAGTAAGGCATGTTCAATGTGATATCTTACGCCGTTCAACTATTATAAAGTTATATTTCATCTTTCCAATGATAGTTTCTTTATCAATACTTTGCATCCAATTTAATAATATTGCGTAAACATATGATTGTATCTCCATACACCTTATCGGTATTTAGTGCGATAAAAAAAAAAACAAAAAAAAACAACTAGTTACTTAGATTATTTCCTGGTAGGGTGGTCACCGCGATATAGCCTTTTTGTGCTGATGCGGCGTAAAGAAATCACCAATCAATCCTGTTGGGGTCAAGTGTCGCAAAAACAAAGGTCATCAATGATTAAACGAGGGAAGAATTTTTTTTAGAAAAGTAACATTTTGAAATTAAGATTGTTTATGAACCAGCTTTTTTAAAAGACAAATCAATGGTCAAAACATGACTCTTTGAAAAGTTTTTTGCATAATACAATGTTTGAATAGGGTCCCAATTAGCTTCAACTGGATTGTGACGTCTTAAAAAGTTGTTTAATTTTATAACTTATTCAGATTGGAATAAATAGCAATAAGGTCTATTTAAGGTATTTGATGTTATTTTGAGAGGTAGAAATTTTATTTCATAAAACACAGTATATCACTGTTATATTTGTCTTAAGTTTATTGTTTCTTATTCAGACGTATAGTATGGGAGAGTAACCTAAGATACATAAGAAAACACAACCGTGATGCCGATAAAGGACTTTACACATATATTCTTGGCGAAAATGAATACTCTGATATGGTAAATAGCGTCAACGATATTATAAATATTTATAAATTGATCAGATATTGTTTCTTCATAAGCTAACTTTCTGGTATATGGTCATCATTTGTGAACTTAATCCAAAAATTGTGAATAAATATTTTCTAAAACAAGAATTATAAAATTAAATAAATTATGTTAATAAATAAAAGAGTTTATTTACTTATTGTACTTAACATCCGATTCCACATTTATTTACAATCAAGTAATTATCGTTTTTATTCAAATTAATGCTCGACATGTTACAAAATGCAATATTGACACTATGTATAGTTTTATTATAACACTCATATATATTGCTTTGATGTACTTTAAAATACTTATCAATCAAATTATCAAATGACAATTCGCATAATTTTATCTACAGACAAACAAGGAGTTTGTATCAGTAATGAATGGATTCAGAATGCATAATACACGACGAGATGGTAACAGTTTTATAGCACCAGATGATCTTACAGTTAACAGTCTACCACTTACTGTAGACTGGAGAACAAAGGGCTACGTGACTAAAGTTAAAAATCAGGTTTGCATTATTTATAATTTTCCAAGCGAGTTTATGATGTTAGCTTGTCCTGGGCAATAAACCTAGTGAATGCATGTGAATGGTCATGCAATAATGTGTTGTTACAAAAGTGAATAAGGTATTGGTTCCTAAATTCCGATTAATTCTTACACTCGGGGGGACTTAAATCCTGATATATTTTATAGACATGTGCATGTCGATCCAGCTTTTTTGTTGGTTGACCTAATTACTTACATCCACTTCGTTTTAACTTTGGTGGATATATGTCACATCTCCTTATTTTTGTATTTGTTCATACAGTGTATATGTTAGTTTGCACTTCAGTTGATAACAGTAAAGTAGATATAAGAAGATGTGGTATGAGTGCCAATGAGACAACTCTCCATCCAATCACGATTTGTAAAAGTAAACCATTATAGGTCAAAGTACGGTCTTCAACACAGAGCCTTGGCTCACACCAAACAGCAAGCTATAAAGGGCCCCAACAATGACTAGTGTAAAACCATTCAAACAGGGTAGTATAGGTAGCGTGATAACGAACCTGACTAAGTTTTAATAAATCATAACATTAGCCCGAAGCTTGTCATTTGGTACCATATAAAACAAAACATAGTATTCTTGCCAATGAGTCAACTCTCTATAACAATTTGATACCATCAATGTTCTAGTTTCCACACAGCATATAACCATTTCGTCGGGTTCCGTGCGGAAACACTGCATGACTGTATATTATTTGTTTCCGAATAAACTATAAATCTTTGATTACACTGCTATTACTTGACTGATTTTTTGTAAGTCATTGCACTTTTTTTTACAACTGGTTAATATAATTTTCAACGTATTAATTCTAATAGATAAGTGTCATATCAATTTATACTAGTTGTTAGTTGTTAATGATCGGGATTCAGTACATGTTTCTTTGAACTTAACACTCATGTTATTCTTTGTTTTTATAGAAAAGCTGTGGATCATGTTGGGCATTTTCAGCAGTTGGATCAGTAGAGGGCCAATGGTTCAAGAAGACAAACACTTTAGTATCACTCTCTGAACAGAACATTCTTGATTGTATAGGTATAGTATCTTATATGTTCTTATTCTATATGATCATAACTTTAATTAAAAGCAAAACTGATCCATTTTTTACCCTACATGTTGATATATGAAAAACCTCAACATAAAACAGATAAATGAATGCAAAAGATAACAAAGGGACACTCAAACTTCCGGAAAGCCCGAGATCATTCCGCGTTTTGGTGGGGTTTGTGTTGCTCAGTCTTTGGTTTTCTATGTTGCACTTAGTAAACTGTTGTTATGGCATTTTCAGTTTGTTTTCGACTAATGAGTTTGAATAGCCTATTGGTATCTTTCACCCCTCTTTTACTCAAAAAGACGACTAGGAAAGTTGAATTTTTTAAGTGACAGTTACAACTACATGTTATTGTTTTAATAGGTGAAGGTGGTAGTTGTCTTGGTGGATGGATCGATGATGCATTTCAGTACATCAAAAATAACAGTGGAATAGATTCTGAAGAGTCTTATCCATACAGAGACCACGTAAGATTTTGATACTGTTACTGAATTAAATTAATAAGATAAGGTTTGACGTGACGTCTTCATTTAAAATCATAGATAGGAACACAATGTTTAAAACATAAAACCAAAAACAAAACACACAGTATTATCCGAAAATTGTTATGCAGTATCCACATACTCAGGGAATTGCACTTGTAAAAAAACACACTTACTTTAAAGCTTAAATCAAATATCCCAGTGGCGGATCCAAAGGGGGGGGGGGGGGGGGGGGGTTCCGGGGGTTGGAACCCCCCTTTTGTGGGACGATCAATGCATTTGAATGGGGACATATATTTGAAACTCCCTTTTATCCTGGGTTGGGAACCCTACTCATTTAAAAATGGCTGGATCTGCCCCTGTATCCATTGACCACCAGATGTTCATCAGACATAAAACTGTTTCATGCTCACATATAAGGCCTTAACCAATTATGGTTTTAAATTAGCCTTTCATTAGATGAAAATAAGAACAAAACAATACATACATCATGTGTAAGAATTATATAAACGATTGGAACAGTTTAAAGAAAACATCATTCTTCATAAAAACATTCTTACAAAATTTTCAGATCAGAGAAACTATTGTTTTTTTGGGATAATTTATCCTAAAGGACAATCAATGTTTGCAAGAAAAATAGTTCTTCGATAAAACTTAGTGAGGACGAATACATAAAATCATAGGGAAGTTTATAGAATTTAGGTACTTATCAAAATGGTTTTAAACCTGATGGATCGGTTCAAATAAATACCGGATAAAACTTAATCCAAGGATTAACATATATATGCACTACGGAAATAATTTGTTCCTTTATCTTAATAAAATTTTCCACAAAAAACATAGCTTAATCTTATAGGATGTCAATTCATTTAATTTTGTATGTACCTATAACTTACAATTAAAATCTCCTTTTATGATTAGCATTACTTTCTACATGTAATGCCTAATTCAGGTATCAATACACATTTTGATCATATATTCAATTTACTATAAATTTACAAAATATTTTGGCAAATTGAAAAAAAAAAACTACCTTGGTATACACTCGTAAGAACTACCATTTAATACAAGAACTGTTTTATGATATTGATATTTAATGGCAGTTGATATTATTTTAACTAAGTCTCCCAAACGAAGTTTGGGAAGACTTATTGTTTTTGCTCAGTTCTTATTATTATTATTATTCTTCTTCTTCTTCTTCTTCTTCCTCTTCCGCCGCTTTTAAATTTGAACTTGTCCGCACCCGTTCTCCAAAACCGCTTGTCAGATTAACTTAGGGTTTCACAATATGTTAGACTAACATGTCTAGTGGTGCAATCAGGGTTTTGTTTGTGCAATGGGGTTTATAAAGGAGTACTTTGAGGGGCAAAAAGAAAAGAGGGTTTTACTATAGAACCCTATGGGATTTTATTTTTTTAAATTTTCAAATGATTATAAATTGAAAACCGTTTGTGATAGCCACAATCTTTTTAATTGAAAATGTTCTAAATGATAAAGCCCATTAAATGAAATACAGGGTTAGTCCCCAGGGGCCACCCCACCCCCTGCCATTTAAGAAAGTTCTAATATCTTGTAAGTGGTCAAGATCCCCACCCCTAAACCATATATATTTTGGTTTGTTATGCTAAGATGGTTTGAATGATATACAGGGTTAGTCCCCAGGGGTCATCCCGACCCCCTGCCATTTGAGAAAGTTCTAATATCTTGTAAATGGTCGAGATCCCCACCCCTAAACCATATATATTCTGGTTTGTCATGATAAAGCACATCAAATGTAATACAGGGTTAGTCCCCAGGGGTCACCCCACCCCCTGCCATTTAAGAAAGTTCTAATATCTTGTAAGTGGTCAAGATCCCCACCCCTTAACCATATATATTCTGGTTTGTCATGCTAAGATGGTTTGAATGATATACAGGGTTAGTCCCCAGGGGTCATCCCGACCCCCTGCCATTTGAGAAAGTTCTAATATCCTGTAAATGGTCGAGATCCCCACCCCTAAACCATATATATTCTGGTTTGTCATGATAAAGCACATCAAATGAAATACAGGGTTAGTCCCCAGGGGTCACCCCCACCCCCTGCCATTTAAGAAAGTTCTAATATCTTGTAAGTGGTCAAGATCCCCACCCCTAAACCATATATATTCTGGTTTGTCATGCTAAGATGGTTTGAATGATATACAGGGTTAGTCCCCAGGGGTCATCCCGACCCCCTGCCATTTGAGAAAGTTCTAATATCTTGTAAATGGTTGAGATCCCCACCCCTAAACCATATATATTCCTATTTGTCATGTCTCGAACATTTGAATGACGTATACGGTCAGTCCCCATGGGTTCCCCCCACTCCCAATGTTCTAATATCTTGTAAATGGTTGAGATCCCCACCCCTAAACCATATATATTCCTGTTCGTCATGTAATGAACATTTGAATGACGTATAGGGTCAGTCCCCAGGGGTTCCTCCCCACCCCCAATATTCTAGTATCTTGTAAATGGTCGAGATCCCCACCCCTAAACCATATATATTCTGGTTTGTCATGCCAAGATGATTTGAATGATATACAAGGTTAGTCCCCAGGCATCACTAATGCATATAACTTTACTGGACCAAACCAATTTTCACTGGACGTTGCCCAATGTCAGTCGACCCTGGGAATTACGAATTATGGGAGCTTCGTTTGGGAGACTTCGTAACAGCATCCTGTTATAATCATTTCTTGTTACAGAAATGGTTTTGTAGATTCAATCGGGATAATTCACGCGCCACAATAACTGGATTTGTCGATCTAACAGCACAAAGCGAGGAAGAATTGCAAATGGCTGTTGCTTCAGTTGGGCCAATATCCGTGGCAATTGATGCGACTGGAACGCAATTCCAGCATTACAAAAGTGGAATATACAACTATAAAGATTGCAGTTCGACGGAATTAGATCACGCAGTACTGACGGTTGGATATGGAGCCAGTGGGGGAGAAAACTACTGGACTATTAAAAACAGGTTGATATATATAAGAATATGTTAATGATAATGTTAGATCAGATTTATTAATTTGTTTTATTGCAACCATTTTTCATTTCATATAATCGGTCTTTTTTTTTGAAAGTTAAAGCACTGCAGAAATATTTCCCCTTCCTTTTCTTATAACATTTGTACTATGTACCATTGGTTGATTGCTGTTTTTTTTTAACACGCAATGGCAATTTCAAATATATGACAGATATATATAATTGTATACTTCGAAAATGCTGTGATTGGTGGAATATCAACTCCAATCGAAATATGTTCTCGTTACTTAAAGGTTATGAATTAAAGTTCAAACGATTAAGAAAAAAAAAAAAAAAAAAAAAAAAAATAACATGGCTGTCTACAAATAAATTTGCGATTTAGGTATAGTCAATATCTAAATTGAGAATGGAAACTGGGAATGCGTCAAAAAGACAACAACCCGACCAAAGAGCAGAAGCTTTTTTCAGTCGTCTGTTCTCTTAAAATATTTTTTTTAATATTCAAAAACATCTTCAGATAATTAAACCTACATAACTATTTATTGATTAAGACAGATGTTAAGATCAGAAACTTGCTATGAATATATTATTTGACTATTTCAGCTGGGGAACATCATGGGGAATGGAAGGATATTTCAATATGGTCAGAAACAAAAACAACACATGTGGAATTGCAACGCGGGCGAGTTTCCCTACTGTATAAACAGTATTAAAATTGAATAAACCTGTTATTTTTATATGTATAATTGATTTTTGTATGTGAATAAAAATGAACGCACGTTTTGTAATTCATTGTGCAATAAATTGCATGGCCTGTGTTATCCATTTGTTATCTTTTGTTTTATTATATTCATTTGTCTGCAAACTGAATGGTATATCAATAATGATGTTATATACTTTTTAGTAATGCCACGAGCAAGTGTACCAAAATACCTTGTGTCTTTTTTTGTTTATATATGTTCAATGTATAATCTCCAAATAGAAACAATGTGAAATGAACGATTAACATCAACGAGATTGCAGTTGAACACAAAATCAACCAAGAATTTTCACACATGTGTAAAATTTCGTTTTCAATAATACATGTATATTCTAAGTATAAGGTTCTAATTACTTCCAAATATATGCCAAATATACATTTATTTCATAGGGTCAACAAAATATCAACCATAATGAAAGGATCTAATATTTAACAAGAATGTGTCCATAGTACACGGATGCCCAACTCGCACTATCATTTTCTATTTTCAGTGGACCGTGAAATTGGGGGTAAAAACTCTAATTTGGCATTAAAATTAGAATGATCATATCATAGGGAACATATGTACTAAATTTCAAGTTGATTGGACTTCAAGTTCATCAAAAACGACCTTGAACAAAAACTTTAACCTGAAGCGGGACAGACGGACGGATGGACGAACGGACAGACGAACGAACGGACGCACAGACCGAAAAAACATAATGCCCCTCTTCTATCGTAGGTGGGGCATAAAAACTTTAAAAGCTACGTCCTTTACAAAAATTAAGTATATATAGCTAACATACATTCTGATGCCCTGAAATGCTTCTTTTGTGTACATTTCATAGTTGAGTGACTTCAATTGTTCAGCAAGATACCTAGTTCGAATTTGCATCTTAGTATTTACGCAGCCTTTGATTCTGATGTTTAATTTTGAGCGAGGTTGAAGAAGACTTAGCAGATAAGGGAATAAAAGAGCTGGAAGATACTAAAAGGATCTTCAAACTCATAGTTTTTGACAAAGTAACAACGCCATGACAAAAACAAATAAAAACAGACCACAAGACAAAACACCGTATACAAGACAGAACAGAGAAAACTTAATAATGGGCAACACTATCCCCACAAAACAGTGTACGTGAACTTCCTTGTAAAATAAAATCCTTAATATAATCAAAATCTTCATAAATGTACTGCTATTGAATTATGGTCATCTCGCACACTAATTTTCCCCGATATTTTCCCGTATACAGTGATCTTAACTACAAGTCCTCTCGTAGAACTTCGGCCACCGCACAGCGCAAGTGAGACGGGAAAACCGTGATGAAAGAATGTAAACAAACGTGCACTGGAAAGAAAACAATTATAACTAGTTCTTAAAGTACAAATTAATACAACAACAAATTTTACATCTCTTAAGGAAAATTTAATTAACAAATGGGAATGCATGGAAAATATAACAACAGATATCATGGCTCTATCAAGTCACTCATTTGGCACAAGCTCCACGTGATCTTAATTGATTGTTTATTAATGTCACGATCCGGTAAACTTCGGCAACAAACTCGAAAGTTAATTTGCCTGCGATCAACAATCACTGAATATAATGTTATTTGTCAATAATACGTTATAGATTCGTAATAAATATGAAAAACATGCATGCAAGACTTAGTTTTGTATATATGCTAGCATTGGTTCAACAATTTCGATAACATTAAAATTACAAGAAACTCGTTTCATATGACTTTAAATTTGTGATATGATTTAATGTCTCTACAAATTGAGGTATTGAATCGTTAATACTTTAGATAAAAAATAAAGGTTATAGCAAACGCATGTTATTATTAATATTTCTTCTGATAGTATGCCCTATCATATCGACGTTTAATGGTTACGTTTTGGAAAATCGAAGAAGACTGTCAGAAATTCTTTTTTAAATTTTGATATGTACCCGCTAAATTCAAGTCACTTCATAATGCCAATTTTTCGATTTCTCTTAGTATAGATATTTTTGTAATAGGGATTGTTACATCTTCAAGTAGTTTTTGTTATCGGTTGTTGCGGACAAATGTATATACTTATATTTCATACAGAGATATTTCAAAATGAACAGATGAATTGATGAAATCTTTAAAAAATAGTTTTGTTATTAATATTGCATTTTCAAAGAAATAATGTGGCTTTATAATATTGAACACATGTAATAAGTTCCTCAGTTTCAATCATTGCTTTTTATGTCTTCCTACGAAGCATCATGGAGGTCGACTTTAATGAGTAATGGTCTCCTTTGAATTTTTCCCAGTTGACTCCCATATTTTGATCAGCTATGCCATTGGTTTTTAGGTATTCCCCGTTCAACGAGGAGTGACTGCAAGCTTTGTACCACCATGCTCCCTTGTTCCTGGCAGCGCATGTTGTGTGTCTTTGTGTGTTATCTTGATCAAAGGTACTGAACTTCAGTCCATGGTGATAATTTAAACCATCACCTGAAAGAAAGTTGACAAAAGAATTGAAATACAAATCCTGTACAATGGCAACGTGCATACGAACCTGAAAACGTGTCATTCTAATTTCTGTTCTGATGAATAATGCACCAAAGTTTTAAACGTTTGAAAGTGTGTACCATTACGACGACCATAAGATATAGAAAGGGCCTTTCAATCTAAAACGGAAAGATGGCAGATTTTGTCAGAGAAATATTACAAAAAATTATAGAAATATTCAAAAAAATTATAGAAATATTCAAAAAAATTATAGAAATATTCAAAAAATCATTTCATCATTAGCAATGTTACACGTTGATTAAACTTAAACTAGTCTCATTATTAATCAAATCTATAACAAGTAAGCAAATGTATATTTCCCACATCTTTAATCCTTCATATAATAAATTATATAATCTAAGAGGGTAAAAAACATAATCAAATAATGTTTAATGCAATGTTCAAACTGTATCTCATTCTGAAAAAAAAATACTCCTACTGTATTTGTTGAGTACACATCTAAACGTATTATTTAAAATATCTGTCAGAATAGTGATTGCATGCATTTTATTTTGACATTTTACCCCTTTAAACTACTGTCAAGTGGGACAATTTTGCTAAGGAATTATTTTCCGCTAATTTAGGAATTCTAAAAAATCGTAAAAATATCCCCCTCGAGTACATTTGTTCTCTCAAGAATATAACATAAATGGACCATTCCTCAATGTTCTAAAAGATATGTACAAAGAAGTTTTATTTGCAGTTAAAGTCACTGAAGGCATTACTAAGATGTTTCCTTCCACAGTTGGAGTAAAACAAGGCTGCATTCTAAGCCCTACCTTATTTTCTTTTTATATAAATGATTTAACCTCCATGTTTGATAACTCATGTGATCCTGTAACATTACATGACATAAAATTGTCTAGTCTTTTATATGCTGATGACTTAGTATTAATATCAGAATCTTCAGAAGGTTAACAAAATTATCTAAACAAGTTAAACACTTATTTCGAAAAATGGAACTTGACTGTCAATCTTGACAAGACGAAAACAATGATATTTAATAAAAGTGGTAAAAAACTTACTAAAGACAAGTTTGTATTGAAAAATGAAGTAATCGAATGCTGCACAGAATATAAATATTTAGGTATACTATTCAAGCCATCAGGAATTTTCACTAATGCTGTAAATCTCCTCTGTAAAAAAGCTTCAAAGGCATTGTTTTGTATTAAAAAAATCCTTTACTCAGATAGATGGATGTTTTTTCCCATATGAAACTTTTTAATTCTTGTGTTAGTCCAATATTATTGTATTGTAGTGAGATATGGTCACTAAATATTGTGAAGAACAACAAAACTCTTGAATCTCAATACTTATCAATTGAATCAGTAAAACTCCAGATCAAATTTGCGAAAAGTCTTCTTAATGTTAATTCAAAGGCAGTAAATACAGCTGTATTAGCTGAATTGGGAATGTACCCTATTGGTATACAGGCCCTTAAGCCTTCTGTAGGATTTTGGTTACATATTTTAAATTCAAATGAAAATGAGTCTTTATTATATAATGTTTATAAAGTTAACAACCAGTTAAATGATGGATTTGCTTCAAAAATTAAAATGCTACTATCAAAATTGAATTTCACTCATGTTTGGGAAAATCAATGTACCTTTTCTAAAAAACGATTACTTTTAGCCCTCGTGAAGAAGCTCAATGAAAATTACATTATATTTTGGAAAAATTGTCTCTTTAATGATGATAATTCAATAAATGGAAATAAACTAAGAACCTACAGAAAATTTAAAGTAAAGTATGAACTAGAAAAGTACCTTTTATTGAATTTAGATAAAAATGTAACAAAAAATTATGCCAAAATAAGAATAAGTAATAGTATGCTGGCTGTTGAACGCGGTAGATACAACAAAACAGCCTTGGCAAATAGAATATGTCCTTTATGCCATAAAGAGGTGGAAGATGAATACCATTTTATCATAACATGTACAGAAATTAATAAAACTAGGATCAAAATGTTTAATGAAATTTCTAGTATTGTCCCCAGTTTTAATTCAATGAGTAAAGAAAACAAATTTGATTTTATATTTTCTTGTGAAGAATGTGATATTTTACTTATCATTGTTAACAATATAAGTGAAATGTATAATGAGAGAAACAATTATAATGTCAGTATATGAACTGTGTGTGATTGGTGGCTTAACTTATAATGTTATATATAATCATAATATTTGAATTGATAATTTTATAGAGGAGGCATGCTGTCAAAAATAGTATAATACTTAATATTAATAATCTTAATTTTTTTTTCAATGCTACATGTTTGTATTGTTTAATGTCTATCGTTTTGTCATTAATATGCCTGTCTGTCTGTCTGTTTGTTTGTTTTGTTTTGGTTTTGTATTGGTTTGTTTATTTAGTAACAATCCTATTGTTTGGATTTTCAACTAATAAAATTCTTATTCTCTTATTCTTATTCTCAAGAAGATGAAAGTTCGGACAAGAAATACACAATGTTCGCAAAATTAACACCTTACTTTTGACCTAGAAATCGCGAAATTTAAACACTTTAGACTATCTATAAGTTGACAATTAACTTCGAAAAATAAAATCTTAACAATTGCAAAGATCATTAAAACAAGTTACCAGCATCTCCACTGAAATTATCAACAGATAGCGTATACTTTGATTCAGCATCACCAATAATGAACGTGGAGTACTTTGCATACGCCTTCTGGTTATCCCAAGCCATTAAGTCAATGCGTAGCTCAGTAGGGACTTGAGTTAAGATATGAATATATTTATTCCCTGAAATATGCGAAGAAATATAAATATTTTTTTTATGTTTGTTACATACTGTTAAAGTGAACAATTTCCTCTTATTTTATGTTTACCTGAAACATGTATGCAAAAAAGTAACGTGTTTGTCGATTCGATGGTATTACATTTAGTGTAGAAACTAGATTCGTGTAGGATAATTGATACTGAGACCACTAGATGTCTTTTGGTTATTTTCGTTAAATTTGTGTCTCATTGATAACATTTTCTTCTCTTTATATTCATGTGATAAGTACAATATGTCTGGAATACTATTAATAAATTACAGATCCTTACATTTTAAAATTATATACATATATATAGATGTACTGAGTGTGTTTAGTTTCCAATGCTCCCTATCAAAGGTTAGTACTTAAGTATTCTCCGTAAAAAGATTTTTGAGAGATTTATATCAATAAACATGATAAAGGATATTGTAAACTTTATTCTAGTCTAGATCGTTCGTTTTAATTTCAGTATCTGACAAAACAAATATTTGTGCTATGTGTATAAATATAAGTTTGTTTGAAACATTATATGATATGCAGTGTAAAAACAAGATAAAAGAAGGAGACATTAAAAACTCAGAAGTACGATAATTAATCAAGTACAGAGTTCTATACTAATGCACTATAATTAGGTGCATCGCAAGCGTCGCAAAACCTTTTGATTTATACAAGGCACATGTCTGTAAAAATTCATAAGAACACAGACAGTTAAATAAATCAATATGATACAACCTATCCAAAACTCTCCGTTGATGTCTCCAAAACCATCTTCATACGCCTGCCAGCCCCTGAAGAAATTTTCGCTGCCATCAAATCGCCTTTGGAACACCTAAATGTACGAATAGAGAAATAAAAATTGTTGTTTACATGTTTTTCTTGTTTAGCGGGCTGTTTAAATCTTAATCCTCATCATCATTATCATCATCATCCAAATGCACTGAACAAGATATACTGATCAAAATATAAGAGGCAGGATAGATTAGCTAACAACACGTTAAGTTTGCTGTCAAATGTCATGAAGTATAATATCATGAGTTAGTACAAAAATATATTGGAACATGTTGAATGCCAGCTGTATTGTTTGTGTATTTTTATAAAATATTTCGTTACGATCTGAATTCACAGCAGTGCACAGAAAAACAATTTAATTTGAAAAATTCAAAAGATATCAAAATACCCATACAGTACAGGTTGTTTTCAATAATGGACAAATTTCAAATGTCAGTAACATCTTGTTCAAGTACATTATACTTGTAGATAATTGTTAATTGAAAAACCTTTGATCCTATAGAATCATTCATAAGTATTTTAAGTAGATGATAGAAATCTGAAGTGTTGTTTTGCCAAGTTAATGATATACTTAGGTGAGGTTTAGAAATTTGTGTCAGATGTTCGGACTCCTTGGTTTTTTTCCTACGTTACAGGGTAACATATTTTGCCCCATAACACCTATTTTTCTTTTCATATAAGACTTCAATAGCTCATAAAAGGTCATTTACCAAAATTTAAGTAGATCCTAGATTTCTTTTCTTTCGATTTGAGACCCAAAAAATACCAATGCAAATACAAGGTAAAAGTCCGAATCAGCCTTTTCCCGCAATTTTTTAAAACTCAAATATCTCGAAAAGGAGGTCCATAGCCTATCAATATATTTTAGCTTATTTTGTTCCTTAACTAATGCTCTTCTGACTTATAGTATCAATTTTAACTTCTAGATTTTTTTAATTTTTTTAATTTCACCTAAGTTAGGCTAAGTACATCCTTAAGTTGAAGATTGATTTAGTGGTCTGCATCAACATATTTATCTATACCCATGATATCACGTAGTAACAAAATATATAGCAATTAGACATTTATTTTTTCATTTTCGTTTCAATGATCATAATTAGTCGTTTTCATAATTGATTATATTGTTGAATGAAACCTACAAACCATATACTAGGTATAAACAATAAACGGTTTTTTTTCTGAAAACCTGAAATTGGTTTAAAATTAGACAACGCTTGAAAAGAGAGGCATAAGATACAAAAGGCACATCCAAACTAACAAGTCGCAAACAAACTGACAAAACCATGGCAAAAAAAAAGGAGAAAAAGACAAAAAGACAAAACACAACATAGAAAACTAAAAATACACAGTAGATTGAACTAAATACATTCCATTATAAAATTGTAATCTCGGAACATGAGTACCAACAGTACAATGCGTTTACGTTGCACGGGATGAGTTTTCAAACATAAACAAGTGACAATCTTTAACAGATACAAATGAGATATATAGCCAGGTGGCATCCGGCTGTTTTCTTCTCTTCGGTCGTGGTGTTGTCTCTTTGACACATTCACCATTTCCACTCTCAATTTTATGTTGTATATAAACAATGCAAACTGCATTTATTACTTCCGATTTTAGAATTTTTTTTTTGTCATGGTTTAAGCGTGAATTTGAATACATTTAGATGCATAACCATTTAGATAATCACCTTCTTTGCAATTCGTAGCCGATTAATACAGTACGCTACTTGTGCAATTTTTGTTTTCAACATGTGGATTGTTTAATCTCAAAATTCAAATATAACGTCAAGTTCTTTATCTTTCTTACGTTCCGAAACAATCAACCATATTGACGTCTCATAACAAAAACATCTAATTGAAGATCATTGAAAACGAGATAAAGTTCGCCTGAAAATCACTAAAGAAAGAGATAAACCGAATCTAGTGAAATCTAATCGTTCAGAATTTTCCATGGTCATGACTGTGTAAATGTAAATGCTCGGACTGAAATATTGTATCATAATCAATGCCGTGACAAAATCTTATATATTCAAAAAACCGATACAGTTATAGGCCAATCAAAAACCCTAAGTGGTAAAAAAAAACTCAAAAAAAAAAAAAAAATCAGATAATACCATGAAAAAAAAAAAACGACGAAAAGACAAAATTTGTAAAACAGTTCACCAACATAAATACCCAGAACAAAATGACCAATTAGTACCCTACAAAAGATCGTGGTAGATTTAGAAGTGTTGGGAAGGCCAGCATTCCATACTCCTCCTGTGGAACCGTTGTATAACTAAGTTCCGTTGAAAAAACGTTGTATCCGGTAATTTGAAACATTGATGGATTGCGTAACGTCGCTATTGTCTTATTCTAAAACATCAAGGAAATTTTTAAACTATTTGTCATGAAAATAACTTAACCAATCACTTAACCGAACGAGAGTTTTGAAATCAAAACAGTTTTCAAGAGTAAATGATAGACAATACTGCTACCAGTAAAATAAACATAGACATTGAAAACTTTGTATTATGTAACATTGGAACCTAGAACAAAAACATACTAATCCTTAAGGGGTGAACTGAAACTCTCCGGAATGTTGAGCTGTCTTTCCCCACTAGTAGCCCCCATCGTGTTGTTCATGAGTCAAAGATGTATTTGGTGAGAAGTCGCTTTCAGTGATGTCACCATCAAGAACTGAATAAAGGCTATGCTAAGTAGAAAATATGCATTGTAGAACCATTGATACATGTACGTTTTATGCCGTTATGACTTTAAACCTTCGAAAATGAGAAAATATTTTTTCTTAATTTTCTTTGTCTGAAAACATGGTAGACTTACTAGTTCTACATGTAAACTATATGTGTCGAATAAATATCTACGCGGAAGAATAAATTCTCTGCTTATACATTCCCTGTCGTCATATCACAGTATACATCTAGTATCGTTGTATCTTCTAGGCTACATGTAATACTTACAACCCAGCCTCCTCCGTCTGTTGTCATATCACAGTATACATCAAGTGTCGTTGTATCATCAGGACTAATACTGTATACCCCATCAGTCAAGCTACCATTCTGTTTCCACGCTAGACAATCCCGCAGTGTGTAGTCTATCTCTGTAGGTTGTGTTGGTTCTAGCAATTGATAATTTAGGTGTTGGTGATATAATGTATATTGAAAATCTAACATTTTTTCTTTGTGTTTTTTCCATAAAATCGACGGGGAAAGCTACATTTCCCCCGAAGTTTAAGAAATTAAGTCTGGTGTCTGGTCTTCAATAATGATAACACAATTTAATAAAAGTTAACGTTCGGTTTGAAATAATGAACAAAGAGTTATGCTGACAGTTATCGTTTTTTTTTAAATCGTAAACACTCCTTGATTCCAAATTCCTAATTATACACATAAACACATATCAATAAATAATACGAGAGGCGAAATATACCAAAAATAATATTTAAAATTCCAAGTCGAAAACGAACCGAAAAAGCCACGTCAAACTGGAAAAGGACAAAAAAAATAAAGAAACAAAGGTTCACAAAGAAAACTAAAGTATGATCAACACGAACCCTACCTGAACCATCCCTATCAATATCAATACATATCTCATAAATCTCATCAATGATACCAGGCTTTTAATGTTGAACACCAGACGTGTGTTTCGTCTACCTAAGACCTAAGACCAAATCCTAATCAATGGCGCTCAAATTGAAAAATGGGACGCCAAACTAAAGACGAAGTTGAAAAGCATTAAAAACAGGTAATTCTAAAAATGAACTTCTAGGACTTTTTTTTTGTTTTTGGCAGAAACCAAGTTTGTCTGCAATTTTGGTACACTTTAAAGTAACTTATTTTATTCTAATTTTTATTATAATAAGTATGTTAGTCTTTCATTGCGTGATGAGCTTTTAAAGTAACCGCAGTAACACAATAATTTTGATAAATGATATATATACCAAAGTTTCATTACGGAAACAAAGATATGCTGTTTCATTTTATGACTAATACACAGTTTTTACCTGTCATGTTGAAAGTTTCGTTCCGCACACACATGTCAGTAGCTGCTAAGACTTTCAATATATCGTATCTCATTTTCTGAAAGGACTTGAGATCTAAAAGATAGATTTAATGAGTGATGAAATTGAGCATGTTATCTATTCAAAAAACACTTAAAACCTTAAAGACCTATAAAAATTGGGTCAAGTCAATTGCAAGTATACTAACAGGTAATTGCATGTACATTGTATACATATATATATATATATAAAAATTGTTGAGTTAGATTGCTGACAAATAACAAATACATTGTGTATTAAATAATAATATAACATCTTCACACGCTTAAAACACATGTCTTATGTCTATCTCTAGATTCGCCTTACGTGACAAGGTAACACTACGACTATTGAAGTTATATTTTTATATAGCGGATGTGGTCGTGTGGTCTAGAGCGCTGGACATGAGGCTAAGCGATTGGTGCTGTAGTGTATCAAAGGTGTGAGTTCGAATCCCGTTGAGGGACAAAAATTTGTCAGCATAAAAGTCTAATTCTAACACTGTTGGGTGTAATTTTCAGACTTATATATATATATATATATATATATATATATGTTTGAAAAAAATAAGTATATATATTTTACTTATTTAGATAACCATCAGGTTCGATTAATAACAAATTTCGGCAATCATGCAAATCGTCTCATGTAAATGCGATAGATGAACAAATTTAAGAAACATACTGTCAGAAAAAAAAACAACATCTCAAATGACCACATTGATAACTCTAACCCGAGAAACGGTCAAGTGCTTGTCCCATACTATAAAACTTCTCAGTAATTGTATTTTGTCATATCCTAATGCTTTAATTAATTGGAGGATGTAGTGTTGATTGCAGATCTATGATGTAATTTTAATTTTTCGACTGAGGCGATTCAGAGCCTGACCTAGTTTTTTGGTACTGTTTTATAATCTCAAAAGATTGCTTTTTGGTGTTGTATTGGGTTATGTCAAATTGAATAATACCTACATCTCATTGCGTTAAGGTTAAGCAACCAACAATCAATCAGTCATTGCGTTATTTACACATATATCAAGTTCCTGCAATGTTTCCCTATTGTATACGTTATATACATGCAACAATATTACCCCTAACAATATCATATATTAATCTCGTTGGTAGCTCCTTGAGAACATATATACTCGCTCGGCGATTTTTAATTTGAAAAGGCAAAGTCTAACTAGGGAATACATATACAAAATATCATTTACCAGAGGTGATAAATTATCATTATTCTCATGCAATTTCCCACCATATTAATTCGGAACATCCCACTAACCCATATTTCATAATATCTGTATTATTGATTTTGTTTATATCAAAAAAGAATCATATTCTACCACTTTTACGCGTTCACTACAATAAGAATTTTGTCCTGATACATATAGTTCTGAATTTTAAAATGCTCGGTTAATCTCACAATTTACATTTGAACATTTGAAAATTTGGCTATCTTGAATGGATAAATATCGTGATCAGCAGGATGCCGTTGTTTCAGTGCGAATTTTATAAATACCTTTTTGACTTTTCATCCGAAACTCTTGGTTCTGTATCTGACTTTCATTTCTCCACTGTTGTATGATTCTTGTTTCTGTACAAAAGAAATGTTGATAAATTAAATACTTGCATATCTAGAATTATTACTCAAATTCTATAAATATAAACAAAAAATCCAATAGAATGGGAAAATGATGAACTTTTTCTTACAATCAGCAATATTTGGAGTAGGGGCCCTTATTCGACCCAAATATTAGTGCAATTTGAAAACTTACTATACATATTCTTGATTCTATCATAACAACACTAAGGTACAAGGTGTTCAGAAAATGAAAACAAATTTCACATTTAACAAGTTACCATGGCAACAAACCATGACAAAATTTGTATATTCTGAAAAAGTTATAAATTTTCCATGTTTTACATCAACTTTTAAATATAAACTAGATTGGAAAAGTATGTGCGGGCCCAAGAAACAGCTTTATATTTAGTGCGATTATGTCAATAGTAATAATAAAGCTTCTCTTAAATTATATTGTTATTATTTTGTTGATGTCACTATTGTTATTTTCATTATAGCAGGCAGGTTCTTTTTACATTGAAATATTTATTATTGTTCACCGACGAAGGTTGTATATTTTTCAATGTCTAAACTGTTTGACTGCACTATTTTCTTCATAGAAAAAGTCATCGAAGATCTTATAATATACTCGAATCTCTTTTTTACAGAAAAACAAAAAAATGCACAATATTATTCTGATATTTCAATATTAACAAATATTGAAATGAATAAAGATGAAATTTAAACATATTTATATTAAAAAAATCTACTTCTTTTTTTCACCAGCCATGAAACTGTTTTGCATGTCCGTTCTACATACCATTTAAGTTATTTTTTCTCATTTCTGTACGAAATTCCGACATTTGGTTTCTTGATTCGATCATGCTTAAATGCGCTAAAAAATAAAACAATCGACCAATTAATATTGATAAAAATGCCCTTTGATCAACAAATAATCCAATAAATACATATTGCAAGAAATTTTTCATAAGTGCATGTCTTTTGATCTAATTTATTTTATATGTTCCATATTTAGTTAATTTTATGATTTTTTCGACTGTCACGAAACTGCCATACATTTTTGGTCCTACATACCAGCGTTACTGCTTTCACGGAATTCTGTATTCAGTTCCGACATTTGTTTTCCTGTTTCTATCATATTAGAAAGCTCTGAAAATTAAATAAATAAAACAAACAATAGCTTTGATAAATATGCCCTTTGTTCGACAAATTATCAATAAATTACATATTGCAAGTTCTTTGGTTTAAAGGTTTTTCTTTTTTCTCAATATTAGAAAGAATTATTGACTAATATATTGTACATGTTGTATATGGTCCATCTTGATTTGGTATAAAAAAAAAGATATGTATAATTGACAGGTAAAAAAAATTGTACAGTATGTTTTAACATATAAGTTAAGGTTAAAACGGTGTGAATATGATCGATAAAATATAAATTGTGACTATGGAGACTTAAACTATTGACCACACAATGTAGGCTTACCTTGTTCACTTTTTTGACGTATATCATTAAGTAGTTGCATAGTCGCATCAAAAGACGTCTCCACAATCAAAAGCTCTTCAAGTAAAGAGACAAAAACAGCATCATGAAAATGAAATATTTCAAGACATTGTGGTTACCTGTAGAGCTTTGATATTATAAATTGTTTTCAATTTCTGTTGCAATTTTCAAATATTGTGAAGACTTATTTGGAAAGACTATATGCTGACCTCAGGATGTCCATTTGTTATGTGTGTCATTATGTTGCTGTCGAAGTGACGTTTATCTCCACGCAGCCCTTTATTTATGATAAAAATTTACAAAATTGAACCATATAAAATGTTGTCTATCATGTATATCATGTAAAATGTATCTGAAGATTTAATGTGTTTGATTTATACATGTATGATAGTCTACAGTGAGTGACCGGACTAAAAGATAAAAATTAGAGAAAACGAATATAAAAGAATAGAAAATATTGAGGAGCAAAGTTATAAAGAATACATAAATAATGGGTAAAAATAAAAAAAAAATAATAAAAAAAAAAAAAAAAAAAAGAAATGGAGACCCCGAAGCCTACTTCAGCTCATATATATATATATACAGTCTTTAGATCCGCAAATATGATATTACACAATTCATGTAATTGTAAGGCTTGAACTAGCTAAAAATAATATCCGGCAATCTCCCGAATGTGACCGTCCGTATCAGACATATCACCGCGTTTGTACTTACATGAGCAACACGACGGGTGCCACATGTGGAGCAGAACCTGCTCACTCGTTCGGAGCACCTGAGATCATCCCCAGTTTTTGTTATGGTTTGTGTTGCTCAGTCTATGGTTTTCTATGTTGTGTTTTGTATACTGTTGTTTGTCTTTTTCGTTTATAGCCATGGCGTTGTCAGTATAATTTCGACTTGTGAGTTTAAATGTCCCTTTGGTATCCTTCGCCTCTCTCTTTTCTTCTTTTTACATATATTTCAGATATTGTCTTTCTGTTATACAAATTTCTTCAGTCGAAAATTTGTGTATACGTGTAATTATTTGATACTGACAGATCCTGTCCTATTCGATGGTTCGAAAATGTGACATGAAATGCTTACCCTTCCAAGAGCAACTGATTTCACTCATCAATTTTCAATAGGGTTAGTGGCTATCAAAACAAGTAAAAACTTTGATATGAATATAAAGAAATACCTTTCAGCGAAGTGTTTTTAATATCCGTCAGATAGTTAATTAATTCTTTTCTCATATCGTGAATAACCATAAGATCTAAAAAGAAAAGTACATCGTGAATGTATATCAATTTCAATTTAAATGTGTTACACACAAACACAGCCACAACAACAGAACACATTTATGTATTATGTGTATAAAATAAAATTGAGAATGGAAATGGGGAATATGTTAAAGAGACAACAACCCGACCAAAGAGCAGACAACAGCCAAAGGCCACCAATGGGTCTTCAACGCAACGAGAAAATCCCGCACCCGGAGGTGATCCTCAGCTAGCCCCTAAATAAAATTGTGTACTAGTTCAGTGAAAATGGACGTGACACTTAACTCCAAAACATATAACTGAACTAAAGATTAAAAAAACATACAAGACTAACAAAGAACAGAGGCTCCTGACTTAGGACAGGCGCAAAAATGCGGCGGGGTTAAACATGTTTTGTGAGATCTCAACCCTCCCTCTATACCTCTAGCCAATGTAGAATAAAGAAACCCATAGCAATACGCACAGTAAAACTCAGTTCAAAAGAAGTCCGAGTCCGATGTCAGAATAGGTAACAAAAGAAACTAAGCAAAATGACAATGATACATAAATGAACAAAGGACTACTAGCTCCATACCTCAATTAAACTGATTGAAAGATTATGTTTTCATTATTTGAAAATCAAGTACAATACCGTATTCATATGATATCATAGTTAAAGAGAAAGTGCTTTTGGGCATGATTATTGTATACAGATGAAATAAACACTGGATATTTCATGCGTCAGAATAGCTTTTGATGACCAACCTCCATCATAAACGCATAAACAATATTTGTTTAAAACCATGGATACAGATATGGAGATGTGGTAGAAATGTTCAGAATTGTCATTGTATCGTAACAGTGAAGGAACATGTTGGTAGTCGATTAAATAAACAGAAGGTGACCGTATCAAATTCTCTTTGACATACAAATCCACCCGCATGGAAGTTATGTGATTCGCTTGGTTACACTTTTTGTCCTTTTAGTTTAATAACCTTCTAATATTTTAAAAACGTTTTGGATTTTCAAATATTTTGGCCTCGGGCATCACTGAAGAGACGCATGTGGCAGATGCTTTCGACTTCAATCTAAATTGACTAGGATTGCCAGTTTTTCCACCGAAGATCGGTGGTTCTTCCTTCCGGTCACTCCGGCTTCCTCCACAAATAAAAAACTGACCGCCACCAAACAGCACAATAGTGCTGAAAGTGGCGTTAAACACCAACCAACCAATCAATCAATCAATCAATCACCGAAGAGACATTTATTGTCGAAATGCGCATCTGGTGGAGAAAAATTTGGACCGTTATAGTTATCATTTTGTAAATTGAAAAATACATATCTTCTATCAGATTTGCAGCATAGCCAGACAGTCAAGATTAAGATTACTTATATTTTATTTTATTTCATGTCTACATTACCTTCTTTAGTCTTGTTCACGTCTTCAATTACACTGGAAATTCGATTTTCTTCCTGTTGACTGGCACCCACTATTGAAAAATAGAATTTTTGTTAAAGGTCGACTCTACGAAAAACGCTTTTATTCGTGTGTTTTCGGTAACATGATGTCTACATGTATAGATGACAAAGTCCTCGCAAAATTAAAATTAAGATTCAATATCCTTTAGAATTCAAAATCGATAACTTTCTAAGCATTTTCTACCATTTAGAAATTATTAACCTTTTTTTTAATGTGATGACCAAACGCTATTGTTTCGCGTGACCTTTGGACCTAAGGAGGGTATCCTACTGGAGCCCCATATTTAATTCAGGTCAAATAAAACTATTATGGTCATTTTCATTGTGACGTTTTGTGACATTTAAGCATATTTAAACCACGACATAACAACAAATATATAATAAACACTTATCCAGACTAAATTACAGATGTAGCTCTGAACTTATTTTTTTACACAAGATTGACATTTTGTTGATAATCATTTAGTTCATGTACAGTTATGTGTGTGTGAATAAAATATATTGCATGATATATGCTGGCTACAAACATATCAAAATGCATTTCTTACAACAAATGTCAAACATTTATGTCGTTTCGCATACTTGTTGTACTTAGCTCCTATATTTTCCCGATATACTGCTTAATATAAAAATAAGGAGATGAGGTATAATTGCCAATGAGACAACTATCCACCAACGTTCAAATAAGGTGGATGTAAGTAATTATAGTCAACAGTACTGCCTTCAACAATGAGAAAAACCCATATTGTATAGTCGGCTATAAAAGGCCCAGACATGAAAAATATGAAACAATTCAATTGAGAAAACTAACGGCCTAATTTATATCAAAATAATTAACGAAAAACAAATACGACAGACATGAACCAACGACAACCACTGAACTACAGGCTCCTGACTTGGACAGGCACACAAAGAATGCCCTAACCTAGGACAGTGGTGTAACAGCACAACATAAGAACATAAGAACATCAGATCGATACAAAGCAGAAAAACATCAACCATAAACACAGACCGGATGTGGCAGGGAATTTATCCATCCCTCATCCCTAACAACAAAAAGGACACTAAGTACAGATCTAAGAGTACTCGCAGTTACTGACAGCTAGTTCAAAGCCAATAGCAACTTATAAAAAAAATCATGTATCTAAGACTAAAATATCAATCAGTACACATTCAACATCCAATGGATTTAGTGTAAAGAGGTCATTTACAGTCAAAGAAAAACATGACCTTGTGAAATGTCAAAATGACAAACGATCGACAGATTGTTGTACCGTTAAAGTTCATATTTGTATAACAAAACAATTAGTATATATACCGATAAAAACAATATTCAAAGATCTAATTACAGTGTTGAATTGGTAACATTTTATAATAAGTTTATTTAAATGAATTGATAACCTTCCCCGGATCGTATATAAATTTCCGGGCTCGGTAAACAACATCACCGTAAAATTTAGGATGTGCTATTCCGTCTGAAATAAGTTTTAAATAAGTGATAACGAAATTCCTGACTTAATAATTTACCAGTAATACATAGATTACGCTCATTGAAATCCAAAACGTCACTTCAGACACGGGCATAACGAACGAGCTGGGATATTTTAACACCGTTAAATGATGCCAGAGGAACATCACCGTCCAAAAAAGGAAAATTAACAATAGGGAAAGAAGAATCATCCCTTTTATCGTAAATTCTGGTGTAAAACTGAAATATCTAAATCTAGGAAAGGACACTTATTGCTGTTAATATTTGATTTAGTTAAAGTAAGTTGCTGTGGGTAAATTTCGGCAGTATATTTAGAGAATTCTTGATTATTTAACGAAAAAGATATCATCAAGATAACGGTAAGTGTTGTTGAATTATCAATTAAAAGGAATTTAGAAGGGGTTTTACTGAGTTTGGCCATAAACTGTACAGGAACAAGTCTGCTATCAAAGGGGCACAATTGGTGCCCATAGGAATACCTACAATTTGTCAATAAACTTTATTGCCGGAACGTACATAAATATTGTCAAGGAGAAAATTTATGGCTGTAGTCATCTCATCACACCTCTAGTGAGTATATCTACATGTAGCATAGTTACCTTTCTCGTTTGAGGAAAAGGCTTTATATGAGTTGCAGCAAATACATTTGCAATGAGATTTATCGAACGAACATTTAATTAAATATGAAAACTTTTGTTTGATAAGATTGTGTGGAAGTGTAGTGTAAAGAGTAGAAAAGTCAAAACTGTCAACCGAATCAAAAGGACCATCAAAAGCACGTAATTTATCTAAAACATCCAAAGAATTTTTTACACTCCAAAAATGGTTAATTCCGCTATTTTCATATGTTTTATTACAAAAAATAATGATCAGTTTTTTGATAGTAGTAAAGGAACTCGTTATAAGCTCTTAAATTCTAGTAGTAGAACACTTACTAGAGGCCGAGATGAAACGATATGTTACGGGTTTTTTGTGTAGTTTAGTCTTGTGCGGACGAAACGCGCGTCTTGCGTATTAAATTTTAAACCTGGTACCTTTTGTTAGCTATTATTCGTATGTTTCTCTGTCCTATATGTTCTCCCATTTATTTGTAATGTAGTCCTGACATGTAATGTTGTCATTTTAATGTTATATTTAACATTGCCATAAAAGCGGGAGGTTTGGCTAGCCACAAAACCAGGTTCAATCCACCATTTTTTTCTTAAAAATGTCCTGTACCAAGTCAGGAAAATGGCCATTATTATCGTATAGTTTGTTTCAGTGTGTGTTACATTTTAATGTTGTGTTTCTGTTGTGTCGTAGTTCTCCTCTTATATTTGATGTGTTTCCCTCAGTTTAAGTTTGTAACCCGGATTTATTTTTTTCTCAATCGAGTTATGAATTTCGAACAGTGGTATACTACTGTTGCCTTTATTTAGGTAACCAATACATAGTGGGGACCTTCAAATGTTTAGAAGATGCCTTAGGCTGAGCTGTGGTTGTGACATGATTATTTACTATATGACTCTCTGTGAAGCGTACGGCCTTGAATGTACTGTAAATTCAGAAATTATTGCGTGCATTTATTATTGCGATTTTTGAAAAATGAACAAAAGTGGTAGATTAATTATTGCGATTTCGGGAAAATCTGTATACAGATATATGTACTAAATATCAGAATGCGAGTTCTTATTATTGCGATCATCACCAAGTCGCATTATTCGCATTAATAAAAACCTCGCAATAATTTTGAATTTACAGTAGCTGAATGTATAATTTCATTCTTAAGGATATAAGTTTGGGAATAAAAGTAGAAATGGGGTAAACGTTAGTGAATCAAATAATCAAAGGAATCTAGAAAGTAAGAAACAGTCATGAACAATAGAGGTATATATACAATATTTCAGGCATATCATGGATCCAAGTCTAAGAAAGTTGTGATTATATTTAAAAGAAATTATCCAAGATATTCAATCATCACGAAATTCTCAAAATAAAAAAGGTATGAATATACAAAAAATTCCAACGAATGACGAGGTTTCTTGTTTAGTTCAGGAATTATTTATCAGGAGCTTCATTTGAATGTTAACTGCATATAACAGCTGTAATAACTTACAATTAGTTCATCATTACGGAAAAATGAAACGTACATTGACTGCAAGTGCTGATCTTTTTGTGTTTCAATAATAAATCTTCAATAGTATCTTTTAACGCAGTATATAGAAACTATTTCGATATGATTATCCAAATTTAACATTATTTGCTAAATATTGAAATATGTTTTATGTGTGATTGGATTAAAATATGTACTATGCAAGGTAATAAAATACTTACAACTTGACTGAACATTTCCGTCGTTTTGTTTTTTTCCTAAATTAAAGAAGAGATAACAAAATCCAACAGTAATAAAACAACCAACTAACAAACCACCAACAGCGCACAGAAACGAACGGTATTTAGTCCAGAAAGATTCTCTTTTAAACACACGGTCGAACATAGTCATAGATTCTACAGTGTTGTTCCCATTTGTTTCTTCAAGTGCAGAATCTTGATTTTCTCTGTAAAGCGGATTGTCCATGTTTTGTAGCACATATATATTCTAAACCATGTCTTGAATTTACGAACTATTTTTGAAGATATTGCTTATGCAAAACACTTATAATAAAGTAAATTGCAATGAAGTAGTATTAGTTCTCAACTTCATACTTAACAATTCAGTGTACGACTTAATTTTGTCAATTATATTGAAGTACGTAATTGTACTTTATTTGTCAGGATCAATTTGGAAATTCCATGTTGTATGACATCTTCTACTTTGGTAATGTTTGAATCACACATAATAGGATTGGTACATACAATGAATGTGTACATGGTGTATATGAATATAATTCTTCTTTTCCTATTTAGTGGTTACAGTAACGAGGGTCTGGATGGAGTTCCTTCATTTATTTATTCTTTAATTTGTTATACTATTATTTTCTATTCTTTTTTTTTTTGCCTATTTTTATCAATTCTGTATTATTTTAGCCATTTATTCTGCACTTTTGGCCCATTATTCTCTATAACGTAAACCTCGTTCAGACCATCAGTCATACTGCATGTTTATTTTGATCAAAATAATCAAAAATGAATATTCAAATGAAAATGTTTTTTTTTCTTAATTTTTATTTTAGAAGCTTGCCTAACCTCTGCAACTAATGTCAACTACTCTCATTTTCTCAAAGAATTCTTCTAGTGAACGATTTTGACTCCTATATCAACAGGAATACTTGAAAATAAATTCGACAAATGTATCCGCTTTAATTCTACTTATGTTTACATTATATACCGATATTTCAAAAAACTCATTCCATGGTTCAATATTAATAAATACTGTTAAATTGGAAAAACACAACAAAAAATGATACGTCATAAAGTTGCTTTCATCAAATAGTAATCAGATTATGTATATAGCTGTAATGATAGTAACTTGATAGTAACTTGATGTAAAATATGGAAATATAAAAATTTTAATTCTTAGAAAATGTAGTATAAAACTTATTTAAATTTCTCAATATTTTTTTTATAGCAAATTGCAAAACTTATCATCTTAAGGTTCGTGTTATTTCTAATAACATGGTTATATCTCAGCCCATAGAATAACGTTTTTGTACGTTTGAATTCTGTTTATTACATAAGAATATATTAAAATTAAATCATTCCAAAAAATCCATTTTGTTTAAATCAACATTTGTTTTGTTTTTATAATATACACGAACTCTGACTATTTATTTCATACTTTGTGGTCTACAATCAAAAGGTTACATCATAGGTTTCTATGTTAAATCTTATTTCTTTTTTTTTTTTTAGATCAAAACAAAGACATGTGCTTTGAATGTTTGCGTCATTGTATCAATGATTGAACTTATACGTACACTTCTATATGAAAATGAACTTAACCTACCAGCAAACAAAATTGGATTTTAGTCACGTTTGATCTCACACGATTGTTTAACCATGTTAAATGCCTGAATATATATATGACATAGATTCCAATTTCAATTAAAAAAAAATGTTATATATATATTATAAACAAGTAATACAGTCACCTTTATATGTTATGTTATTACATAAACTAACAGGAGTTTTTAGCCAGAAAGGTCTTTATTGTTGTTATTTGTTTTAATTTGTATTTATAATTTAAAATTTATTTTTTATTTTCATGCTTTGCTGATCAGCAGGTGTGCATTTTTGCACAGACATACATGAGTTATAAGATTTGTTAAGTAGGTAATTCATGATTCTCGAAGCCTCTCTGTTTTGTTGTGAAAGTCACCATGCGAAAAGCACGACAAGCTTTAATCATCTACGAATAAATATATAAACTGATATAAAACAATTTTTAAAGCTATTAAGTGATAGCTTTGACCTATAATGGTTTACTTTACCAATTGTGACTTGGATGGAGAGTTGTCTCACTGGCACTCATACCACATCTTCTTATATCTACATATAAAAATTTTTATTGGTGTCCCTAAATATTAAAATATGTATAGTCGAAAGGTACAATGAAAAAAGGAGATTCAAAGATCATGTATTTTACTATTGTATTGATCGGAAGACTGTAAGACTGTTTATACTTACTCCATTAGGTATTTGATACCTCAACAAATGAGCTGCGTCGGATAGAAATCGACCTTATGCAAGTGCACGTTGACATGTACATGTGTAAGACTATGATTGATTATATAACATTCAAATACGAAATAAAAGATGAATTTTGAACTGCTTTGTAGGGTTCTTATGACAACTCAATTTCCAAACAGTTACAGGCTTTCCGTGGAGATTTTTTCAACCCGAAATAGGTTTACAGATATATTCGAATTCATTTGCATAAGGTCGATTTCTATCCGACGCAGCTCATTAATGAAATTTACATAGATCATGTATAATGAAGTTAATAATTAGAGTTCGTATATATCATATAAAACAAACACCAAGAACAAAAATGACGATTTTCAAAAAAATATTTTTAGGAAATTTTATGTGAACGTGTATTATATGAGTAACATTAAACCTAGTTCCATTGATTGAATTATTGACTAAATGTTGGTTTCTTATCTTCCAAGGCAAATAATGCATGTATGTTCAGGACGTGAACAAATTACTAATAAATACAATAGTTAGGTCCTGTTATAGCGAACTCCAGGATGACGGACAGGGACATTTGGACTGCCACTGGAAAATGAGGCCCTATTGGATAGGAACAGACATTTTCCCTTGCAAATAGGCCTCCTACAGACCCATCAAAGAGTTCTTAGCGTGCAAATAGCGTGGCACTCTCTCTACACGGGGCTTCAGAATTAACGTCCTCGTTCATGCGCACTTGTACATCACGCACAGCCAAACGAACGACCCACTTTGGCAAAGGTTTTACTTCCGGTCGAAAGAAAACTAAGAGTGACCATATTTCTATTCCCCAGTCACTCTTGGGGGCTACCTAGTAACACAGCCTATATTGTATTGATAGCTTTCTAACAAATGAGATTAAGATAACGCTTGATATCAACTGGAATTTTAACTTATAAAAATAAATTAGACTTTTAAGTACTGAAATTAAACATCAGGACTAGATATCAAAAGGAATATCTAATTTTCATGAGTTGTAAAACCTATTACTCGTATGGTAAAAAGAAAAACCATTGTAAATTATTTTCGATTTTGCAAGCTTCACCTCAAATATAAGTCGGCTTACGGTTTACGGAATCCTTAACCAGGAACCACAAGTACTGTTAGTTTAGACGTTTTCAAGTTTTTTCTTCGTTCCAAAATGGAATCAAATTTAACAGAACGATTATAATCAGGTGAAGCATGAGAGTATTATGTATATTATTATTATAATTCAAAACTAAATAGAGAGGCGTCCTGCTTAAAAGAAGGTTAAAACTTTTGTTCTTATGTTACCGCCCACTTTAAATTCAGCTTAAACAAGAGATGAAAGGTTCCTGACTTAAAGTGTAAATGACTTGTAAGCAATGCCAAAGGGAGGGAATCGACTTTCATGACAGGAGTTGACTTAATAAATTAAACTCTTGTTTACAATGCATAACATGAGAAATACAAATTACTATATTTAACTTTGATTTTCATCCTATTTTTACACTTTGATTCATATTTTCACATGTCAGTTAACATATGTATCACACATTTATTGTTTGAATGAAAACTCCAATCAGTAAAACTAGAAATTAAAAAATAAAACGTAGTTGCTTGTCCAGCTTTATAATTAAAAAACTAAATTAAATATGTCTCATATATAAAAATAAGGGTAGCAAGTCATTTCGTACCATAGCCATTTCGTACCTCTGCCATTTCGAACCTAACATTTACCATTTCGTACCCACGATAAAAACCATTTCGTACCCATGATAAAAACCATTTGTACCCTATGGGCCAAATTCATCTACCGTTTCGTACCTCATGGACTATATGCATGTTTACCATTTCGTATCATATATTTGCAGAAGTTCTAATTTGTTTTAAGATATAAAAAGGTTTTGAGATGATTTTTTGTTTAATATAACATAAACATAAATAAATTACATCCAGCCGTAGAAATTTTATTAAGACCCATGTTTGTTTGATTAGGCACTTGCAAATTTTAATAGTTTTAATTACACTTTGTTTGCAGGATTGGTCCTTAATTATTTCTTCATCTTTTAAAATTTGAGTTTAATTAATCAACAAAGAAATAATTATCTGCAATTGTTTTTTTTTATAGTTATTAACAGTTGTTTCAGTCAGAAAATGCGGTGAAAAGGGGCACAGGCTGATATTCACACAAGATGAAGGCCATGAATAAAAATGTTTGCATAAGAATTTGCACCTTATGTTACCAATCAAAGAACTTGCTATGGCTTATTCAATTCGAGAAATTAAAACATATGATATAAACATTCAGGTTCAACTACACCTTATAATAATCAATTGAATATATCCCAATATTTAGGCACACGTCGCAATTTCAAATGGCACGTGTATTCAGTAAACATTTTTAATCCAATTAGGTAGAATGCTACCTTTTAAAAATAATACACCAGTCTCGAGACGCCAGTACGACGCGTGTCTTTAGTTACTAGTTTACAAAGTAACAAAATCAATGTTTTCGGCAGAAATGTGAACTGTTACTAAAGCACTAGCTAATACATGTAATACTTGAAATAAACATCATAAATGAAAAAGTTCTACAGATTTCAAAAAGTTTTGTTTATTGACTTTATTCCTATTTAATATCTCATAGGTGCTTTAATTTGAAATGTTATGCATTTCTCGTGACCTCTACCGCATTATAGCAAAAGGCAAATGAAATTATTTTAACCAAGAAATGAAACTCATATAAATCTTCCACCAGGTTTAAAAGTGCATACATACAAATCTTCCACGAAGTATGAAATGGTAGATGTGAGAGTACTCGCAGTTACTGACAGCTAGTTGAAAACCAATAACAACTGATGAAAACAATCATGCATCTAAGACTAAAATATCAATCAGTACACATCCAACCTCTAATGTATTTAGTGTAAAGACGTCAGAGAAAAGCATGACCTTGTGCAATCCAAGATACAGGAATCGACAGATTGTAGAGCAAATAATGTGCATATGTATATACAAATATTATTTAGTTTGATCTTAATTTACTGATAACAAAATCAATATTAATGTTATAAAAACAATATTCAAAGATC